AATCAGTTCGAATTTAGATATAGCTACCACTATTTCGGGTTAATTGTGCACCAAATGGCCAATATCGGTCCAAATGACCTGAATTTTGGCACATCCGAACGAATCCAGTCCAGAAGCCAGTACATCAAATTTATAGAAAATCGGTTCAGATATTGCTATAGCTCCCATATAGATGTTTCACTTGATTTGGTATTTAAGTCCCTCACCTTCGTAATATGCATTCGACAACAATGATCTTTGCTACCAGACATCAGATACAGCTCTGAAATAAATATATCAAATTTTGCCTTCAACCGATTTCGGGTTAATTGTGCACCAAATGACCAATATCGGACCAAATAATCTGAATTTTGGCACATCCGAACGAATCTAGTCTAGAAGCCAGAACATCAAATTTGAAGGAAATCGGTTCAAATATAGCTATAGCTCCCACATATATGTTTCATCCGATTTGTGGTTTTAAGTCCTCACATGCGTAATATGCACTCCATAAGAATGCTATTTGGTACCAAATAACTTATGCAGCACATACAATACCTCTATCAAATTTTGTCGAGATCGGATCACATTAGGATATTGCTCCCATATATACAGGGTGAGATAAAAAACAACCGCAGCAAAGTCAAACGCCATAATTTTTACAATATTTTTAAATTTTATTGAATGTCAGAATGTCGGAAATAGCATCAAATTTTAGAATAAGTTTAGACTTGTTCGAATTGGTCACCTTTGGCACGAATTATGGCCTTCAAATGACCAATGAAACCTTCACACGCTGCACGAATGTTGCTCTGTGAAATTTCAGCCCGTTTCCGTCAAAGCCCTTGCTTGAGGCGATCGACAACTTGGTATTTTTTAGTTCCAACTTTGCTTTCCAAAATACTCCAGACACAATAGTCCAACGGATTGGTATCCAGAGATTTTGGTGGCCATTGAGTGCTGGCAATGAAGCGAGGAACCCAATTTTGTAACCATTCTTGGGTGGCGCGCGTTTGGTGCGATGCTGCTGAGTCCAGTTGGAATGTCCAAGGTCTGCGGCCAAAATGTGTGCGTGCCCAAGGCTTTAATACATCCTCTAGAATATTTTCTCGATAATATTCGGCATTCCTTCTGATGCCACGGTCGATTAATACGAGCGGAGAGTGACCATCGGCTGTTATTGCGGCCCACACCATTACCATGGCCGGTGCTTGAGTTCTGGTGGCGAATCGAAGGTGCACATTTTCAGCCGACCTCTTTGGCAAGTAAACACGATAATTTTGTTTGTTTACAAACTGCTGGACACCTAATGTTTTCGCATCGGAGAAACCCAAATTCGGTCAAATTCGGTTCACAACTTTCGGCCAAGCTAAGCAACTCTTTAGCTCTTTTGAGACTATTTCCTTTCTGTAGCGGTGTAAGTTCTTGCACTTTTTGGAATCTCAATAGCTTTATGCTGAGCTCATTTTTCAAGATTTGACGAATGGAATATTGCGATATGTTCAGGAGAATTCTCACCAAAATGGTTTGGAACGCTTGTAAACAATATAATGTTTTCTCATCGGAGAAAACCAAATTCGGCAGTTCACCACTTTCGGCCAAGCGAAGCAACTCTTTAGCTTTTTTGAGTCAATTTTTTTCTCCTTCGGTGTAAGTTCCTGCACTTTTTGGAAATTCAATGGCTTTACCACGAGCTCAGTTTTCAATATTTGCGAATGAAATATTCAGGATATGTTCAGCTCACGAGCCATTTTTCGGCAACTGCGATGCGGGTTTCGATCAAGTCGCTTCTTTACTTTTCGATCCATTTCTGCTGATGGTGCTGTTTTTCTTCCATCAACTTCCTTGACGTGGGGCTACGCTACCAGTATCACGGTAACGAACGTGACACAAATGATTTATTCACATTTAAATACTGGAGTACTCTAACAATAGCCACTTGTGGTTTTCCTGCGAAATATAAAGAAATCACACTATCACGCTTGAATTCCATCACGAATAGCTTTTTTTCTGGAAAATTCTCACCAAAATGGTTTTGTAAGCTTGTAGTCAATATAATGAGCTGTCACTAGAATAATTTTAACAGCTGTCGGACGAGTGGCTTAGAAATGACCGCAGTCTGAAGTTGATTGCATTTTTTTCTTCTCAGCCTGTATTTGGCCACACACGCACAATATTTCATGATTTGTGGCAGGAGGTCCTTGCAAATATTTTCTTAACATTCTATTTCTTCTTTCTTAGTTATGAGCTCCGAGAAGAAGCAGGCAGGTCCTTAAAGGAATATTTCTAACAAAATTTCCGGTTTGGTTATGATGTTAGGGAATATATATCCGTATCCATGACTTTTGGAAAAAAAAAGTTTTTCTTAAAAAAATCCGAAAGTTTTGGTGTGAGAGGTCCTTGAAAATATTTTCTTTTAAATTTCATATGTCATTCAAATTCATAGCATGTCTTTTAAAATTGTCACTGCATTTTCTGCAAATATTTTTATTGAAAATATTTTCTTTAAAAATACACGAAATCACTAAAAAAGTTCATGCTTAGAAGGTCTTTAAATAACTAATTCTAAAAAACTGCACAATTCTTAGTCAGAAAATCGTTGAAAATATTTTACTAAAAAAAACATATTTGGTCAAGAGTTTTTTGACGATAATTTTCAAGGAAAATCCACGTTTGTTGGTATTGAAGTCATAGAAGATATTTCCATAATCCATGATTTTTGGTAGGGAGATCCTTGAAACTTTTATTTTATACAAAACAATGTTGTTTGGCATAAAAGTCTTCTTTCCTTAACAAAATCCACGAGTCCCTTAAAATAAATGTTTAATAAAAACTCCATGATGTGGGGGACAATTTTTTTTTAAAACTCAACGATTTTTGATTGTGGGTTTCTTAATGATTTTAGTAGGGGAAATCCCTAAAAAAATAGGGAACGTTATTTTATTTAATTTCAAAAACGTTAGAATTTTTTGGTTTGGAGGTCTTTGAAAAGATTATTCTAAAATATCCATGATTTTTTGTCAGGAAGGCCTTGAAACTATTTTCTATTTTCGTAGAGCTATTTATACCCTACACCACAAGGTGGTCAGGGTATTATGTCTTTGTGAATTTGTTTGTAACAGGCAGAAGGAAACGAGATAGACAATGGGTCCTTTTGATGATCTGCATAGAATCACATTCTGAGTCGATTTATGCATGTCCGTCCGTCTGTCCATGTATTTTTGTAAACAAAGTACAGTTCGCATTTATTGTCCTATCCAGACGAAATTTGTTTGGCCCAAGGACGAACCCTATTGAAATTGGAGATAATCAGTCAAAACTTTGCCTTTTATTGTGCACCAAACGTGTAATATCAGGCCGAATGTTATGGAATTTCGCACATACAACCAGATTAGGCCTGAAAATAAGTACGCCAAATTTTATCAAAATCGGTTCAGATATAGCTAGAGCTCCCATATATATTGTTCATCCGATTTGTTGTATTTGTTACCCACAGCTCAGAAATATATTTGCCAAATTTTATCGAGATCCGTTCAGATTTGGATATAGCTCCGATTTCAAGTTAATTGTGCACTAAATCGGTAATACAAGTCCGAATTTAAAAGATTCACATGTTTCGGCATATTCAGTCCTTTGAACTTTAAATTATAATCATAGCGTGTATGAGCTTTTAATTGTTATGCGGAGCTCTACTAAATTAGCAAAGTGATGTAGGGTATCATAGAGTCGGCCCCGCCCGACTTTAAGACTTTCTTTTTTTTTTTTTTTTTGGAAGAGAGTTACCTGCACACAGTTACATACATTCCCACACACACACTCGCACCATAATTACGTAATAAAATGATCTATTTTTTTTAGTAGAGCTATGAACTACGATCATTTTCCTAAAATATCTATGAATGTTGGACTTGAAATTTTAATTTTTGAAGGTTTTGAAACTATTTTCTATTTTCGTAGAGCTATTTTTTCGTAGAATGAATCTTGGACTTGAAATTTTAATTTTTTTTTGTCTCGAATGTCAATAAAAATATTTTCTGAAGAAATTGGCCCGGGAAGTCCTGATTTTGTTAAGAAGTGCAAGAGCCCTTTCGAAAAAACATATATTCTGCTCAGAAAGTCCTCATTATTTTGGAAAACAGGTACTTAAAAATTGTTCCCAAAAAAAACTCCATAATTTTTTGTTAGGAGGTTCTTCAAAATATTTTCTTAAAAAATGCATTTAATTCGGACTTGAGGTTCTTGATTTTTTTTTTTTTTTTTAATTTTTTGTGTAAACTGCTTCTAGGGAAGTCATAACTATTTTTTACAGATTCACGATATTTGACCAGGATCTTGAAAATAGTATTTTACAATAATCATGTTTTACATCCAGAAAGAAAAAAAAGAAGTTCCTGAAATTATTTTCTTAAAAATTCCTCTATTGAATAAGAAAAAAAAGGTCCTTGCTAATATTTTTTTATTTATAAAATTAAGTACACTTGGGAGGATTTGGCTAGGAACTTATTTGCAAAAATATTTGTTTAAAGCATTAATGAGTTTTTTCGACGAAGGCCCTGAAAAAATGCTATTTTACCAATTAAAACAAAAAAATCTCAAAAATTTGCGATTTTTGAACATGAGGTTCGAGTGATTCGGCATAAGCCATTCGTGAGTGGTTCGATATATTCCAACAACATATAGTATTTCAGGTCTTCTGTAAAAAAAAACTAATTTAAAAAGTTTTGTTTTTTGAAGATTCTCTTGCTTTCAAGGACTTCTTAAAATAATCTTTCTCAAAATATTCTTTGAAAAGTATTTTTTGAAGAATTCATTACATTTGGAACTATAAAATATATTATTATTATTTAACAATTCTCAGATTTATATCTCAATTACTCACATGTAGTCCTTTTTTCAAGTTTTTTTCCTTATATTTTAAATCCTTATTAAATTTCACACACACACTCAGTCGTATAAAAATCTCTGCCCAATTCGTAGTATTTTTTTTTTTTAATATCCACAATACAATTACGAATGCACATATGTTTGTGAGTATGAACCCAACATACCAAAATGGCTTGAGAATAATATTACAATAAGCTTATGAACATAAGCCTTAAGCTTGAGAAAATCTTGAGAAAACATTGAAAAATGTTTGTATAACAAGTATAGAATAATCGAAACGGAACCCTTATTTATAAGCTTATACTTGAAATTGTAGAATAAGCTTACAAAAATAATATTATAATAAGCTTATTTTTGTAATAGTATAAAATATTATTTTTTTTAGTTTTTAATCATTTTAAACGTTTTTTCTTGATGGACATCCCAGTAGTCACTGCCGCATGTGGCCTTGATACCCTGACGCTTTCTTCTCCCTTATTTGAACTTCTGCATCTCTTCCACTAAGACTACACATTTATTGAATCCCTGCAACTTTTTTGATGCTTCCAATCTGAAATGGGATTTGAATAATTTATGTGAAAGATTCCCGGATTTATTATTCATCCATACCTTAAGGGTTCGGTCCACAAATGGGTCCTAAATTCGCGTGATTTAGTTTTTTGCCAAAGAAAATAATTTCTTGCTGACAATTTTCACAAAAAATCAAAACTAATTTGTCAACAAGGGACAGACTTGAGAAATGTTTGTGGAACATAAGTGTTTCTCAAGCATTGTTGAAAAATTATATTTTTATAATATTGTTCTCAAGCTGTATTGTATTTTTGGTATGTTGGGAAATAAAATACAACACACACACACACGCACACATAACAATATTCTCCAATATAGTCCCTTTGCGGTTTATGGTTACGTCTCCGAGTACTTTTAATTTAAAGAAATTGCTTTTATTTGACACCGAAGTGGGAGCCATTGCCACACCAGCTCCCGCAGGAGGATTGAAACGTTTCATTTCCAATGAACTTTTCGACAATTTGGCCAGACATGTGTGGAGAATTCATCTGGTGTTTGTTTTTAAGGAAAGATGGAAGTTTTTTTTTTTTTTTGTTTTCGCTTTCGGTTTCCATATGGAATGAAATGAATATTCATGTGAAATACATTATTGAGGAAATAATTTCAGAAAAAGAAAATTCCCAAATTAAAGCAATGTCTTGTGCAGCACATTGACAAATTAACAAGCTGTGAATGTGGGAGAAGATTTTTATAAAGTTGTAATGTGACAAAATGAAGGAATTGAGGAAGTTGATGTGTTTGTCAAGTACTACAGCGAGTGCAAAGAAGTCGAACAGCAAATAGAAGCAAAATTAAGTAAAATTGTATTACACGAGTAAAAATAAAATGATGTCAAAATGGAGACCTATTTCTATACCCTCCCCATACATAGTATGGAGAGTATATTAAATTCGTCATTCCGTTTGTAATTTATGAAAACAATAATTTTAGACCCTACCAAGTATACATATTCTTGAACAGCGAAAAATTCTAAGACGATTTAGCCCTGGCCGTCCGTCTGTTGTAATCACGCTAGAGTCAAAACAAATAAAGATAAGAAACTAAACTTTCGCACAGATCAGTCTTTTGTCTGCAGGCAGGTCAAGTTCGAAGATGGGCTATATGGGCCCACGATATCGTATAGCCCCCATAAACCGTATCCCCGATATTCGGTATTTTAATGATTGTAGCCAAATTGTTCAATGAAATTGTTGGAAAATCCACAAAAGAAGTTCCCTCTGAGGTCCACGATATCGTATATCCCCCATATAACGGTACCACCCTATATTCGTTATTTTGATGATTTTAGCAACATTTTTCAATGGAATTGTCAAAAAATCTATACTAAAAGTTCTTTCTGAGCACTTTATCCCCTGAAAGAGAAATGTCAACGATATCATATAGCCCACATATAACGATAACCCGATATTCGATATTTTGACGATTTTAGAGAGATTCAAATTTCGTATTTAGAATTCGTAATGGGTACTACAGCCTATGACAAAAAGTGCGTATGTAGGCACACACACGTCTTCTTCCAATATTCGGTATTTTGATGATTTTAGGCGAAATATTCAACGAAATGTTTTAAATTTCGGTCTGTGACAGAAAATTGTCTATGCAGGTCCAGGCCTTTGTATGCCCCCAAATTACGGTATCTCCCTATATTCCTTATTTTGATGATTTTAGCTACATTATTCACCGGATTTTTTTTCAAGATTCGATGGCTTATGACAAAAGTTGCCTATGCGTAATCGTCTAAACCCCAATATGACGGCTATATTCGATATTTTTAAAATTTTAACAAAATTGTTAACGGATTTTATTTTATTTTATTTGTTGAAAATTTCCTAATTGGTTCCAAATGGTGGAGGGTATTCAAAGTTCGGCCTGGCCGCACTTACTGCTTTTTTACTTATTAAAATTTGATCGAGGAAGGTTTATATCAAATACAGGAAATGACCTAGAAATAATAGAAGGCATTGAATGTGTAATTATACCCTCAGCCATATGGCCAGATAGGCTATATATCATTCGATACGGCCAGAACGTGCCTTACCGAAATAACAATTTTAGACCCTAGGTCTCTTTGGACAATGTCCGTATCAGGATATTAGGAGTCGATCGAGCAATGTCCGTCCTTCTGTCTGACTGACGGCTGGCTGGTGCGTAAGATAACTCTCGAAGGGCGTATCCAATTTGGTCCAAACTTGCTACATCGTAATATTATTCTCAAACTTAGATCTAGTTTGGAGAAAGGCAATGTCGGTCCACGCCTTGTGGTACCTCCCCCACAAAAGCTCAAACTTTTGAATATCTATGAAGGTCACAGAACGCAAAATCACATTCGATTTGCATCAACACCAAAAAAATGGATCGGACCATTTCCTCTGGTACCTCCCACAGAAAGGGTCAAAATTTTGAATAAGCAAAACGATCAGAAAATATATTTTACTGTACAGAAAAAGAAAGGATAATCTAATTTGCTCTAACTTTGCAAATCCTTATACTGGCATCAGTGGTAGGTCAGGTGCGAAAATAGACAATGTCGGTCCACTCCATCATGTTACTCCCTCACAAAGAGTCAACATTTTGTATAACTCATGTAACTCTTATAAAACTCATATAACTCCGATTGTCTTCAAATTACACACACCGTAATATTTTTATTAATCCAAGATCTGGTGCGAAGATGGAATATATCGGTTCACTCCATGTGGAACCTCTCCCACAAAGGATCAACATTTTGAATATCCATGAAGCTCATATAAAGATGGTAGATATCGAACCATTTCTTCTGGTACCTCCCCCACAAAGGGTCAAAATTTTGAATAAGCAAAAGGATCATAAAGCCCGGAATAAGTATCGGATTCTCTTCATATCTCACACTTCACAAAACTTTTATTAACCCAAGGTCTGGTGTAAAGATGGGATATATTGGTGCACTCCTTTTGGTAGCTCCCCTACAAGTAGTCAAAATTTTGAATATCCATGAAAAAGCGAAATTTACATCCGATTCCTTTCATACTTGGTACATCTCAATATTTCCATCAACACAAGATGTGCTGTAAAGATGGGATGAATCGGACCATTTCTTCTTGTATTTCCCCAAAAAAGAGTCAAAAATTTGATTAACCAAAACGATTATAAAATCCGAAATAAGAATCCGGTTTTCTTCATATTTCTCAGATCTCAGTATTTCTTCAGACACAAGATCTGCTGTGAAGATGGGAACGGTTTTTGTCTGTCCATGGAGAACTCTCAAAAATTCTGATGTCGACAGAAAATCCTTGAAAAATGAAAAATTCTGCCTACAAAAGAACTTTAAAAGCCCTTCTATACATGTAGGGCCCCAAAAATGCTTACTACGAGTATGTGTAAAACATATTTTAAAATGTTATGTCAAGGACTTTAAAAGGTCTTCCCTCTATATAAAATCTTAAATCGTTTTGCTGGCTATTGAAGGCCTTCGAAAAACATTATATCTCTAACAAGCAGTTAAATATGCTTCTATCTATAGAAGACCTTTTAAAGGCCCACTACGGAAGCCAAAAAGATTATTTAAAAATTGTTCAGTCTATAGAATGTCTAAAATAGGCCATCTGTCCAAAATAAAGCCTTATAAAAGCTTCTTTTCACAAAAAATCAATTTTCCCTAGAAAGCCTTAAAAAGGTCTTGTGTCTATGAAAGGTCCTTTAGTTGTCAATTTTTATTTGTATTAGATGAAGCAAGAAAATGGAATTATTCGGTCGACTATATCTGATAATTTAACATTTTTTTTTTAAATTATGACTTATCTTATATAAAGTGATGGAAGTAGTCGATATAGTCCAAACCTGGGACGTCTCAATACTTTTTAGATACGAAATGGGCAATATTGGTCCATTTCTTTAGAACCTACTCCATAGAGGGTCAAGAATTTGAATAACCATAACAGAAGTCAAAATATATTTAAATAAACCAACATTAGCTGTGGGTATATATCTGTCGGCAAGACCGATAACTTTTTTTTGGTTTTTGTCTTTTGACAAACCCATTTGGGTTCATCTCGTCATAGTTTTTTCCACTTACCGCAATTTTCTTCCTATGGAAAAAAATCCGCCAATGAGTTCCATACCAATAAGTATCCAAACGAGGTTAATGTCTAACCTCACCCGCATTTCCACACACACCATTGCATTTTTATTGGGAGCGTGATGACATTAATTGACAAAATTCAAGATATCGTTTTATGATACACATGATGGCATTTTTTGTTTGTTTATGTCTTTCGAGTCTACTCCACATCTCTAACTTCTCGCTTCTCTGAGAAAGCCTAAAAGTACATTTTTTTTCGTTGTCACAACACTTCATGGTGTCAGGCTGCCAGTCGGCCTCCTTGCCTGCCTGCCTGCCTGCCTAGCTACCTATCTACCAGCCATCCATATGCATCCAATTACACAGTTTTGTTGAATGAAAACAAGATTGCCACAGTTTGTAAGTGTTACAGATAGACGGCGCCAGGAAATATTTCAATACTGGAGTCTTTCCAGTTAAGTGACTTCAACCTTCCTTTCCTTTCCTCTCCTCTGCATCCGCCACTCTCCCCTGGTAAAAAAGAAAAACATGTGTGTTGATATCGTTATGTATATGGGAAAGCAAAAGAAAACAACGATTATTACAACAACAGCAACATCATTGGCAGGGAGAAAATGTGACTTTTGACTATTGGCACCAGCGACGGCAACTACGACACTTTGGCCCCCATCAACAGTTTATTACCTTGTTTATTGGGACCAACACGATTCTTCTTTAAGAAAGAAGAAACCCAGGGAAAATTTGAAAATGGAAAATCAAAATGGCAAATATTTTTCAAAGATCGACAAAAAGGGAAAAACTTTTGAGGGAAAAAACAATTATGCAGGTTACTCCTTGTCATATTTCAGAGCAAACTCCTAAAAAAAAAATTAAAATGTATTTATCAAAAATTTTATATTTTTCATATCCTTATGAGACAGCTTCTCTAACTTTTCAATTACTTAAACTATTTTCCTCTACAACTCCACTTTCAATATTTCCACTGCAATGTTTTTTGGAAAACGAAACTCAAAACTTTTGCTGGGTGTACATAAAAATACAATGTTTATTCGCACAGAGTTCACATGTGACTAGCAGGTGGAGGAGGGAGGAGACTAAAGGATCCCATTTGCTATACCAAGGAGTCACACTTATGAGCACGTTCATCTATGACGGCACTAAAGATATGTGATGACTTCGAAATACTTCCAAAGTGAAAGAAAACAATAACATAAAG